ATGTGCATATGGGACTGATACAGAGGTCACATAAGGAGGAATCTTTTAATTTAATTAAAAGCATAATTAATCCTAGAAAGATTGTGTAACTCTCTATGGTTGGATTTTATGGGTCTGCACTGTTTGCAAGCCAAAAAGTAAATGAATTTTTGACATTTAAAGATGAGAAAGTATCACTTTTTTTGCCAAGAAACTTATCTGATGGAGAAAGAATTAGCAAAATAATAAATGTCAATTTGCTGGCAAACACAAAATAGGCAATGCAACCCTTTGCCTCTTACAGTGAAAAGATAATGATAAAACCAGCTTTTTTCCCCACAATGACTTGTTCTAATAAGTTCTGCCTCTAGGATTTTTCATAGAAGAGTATTACATGTTTCTGTATTTGTAAAAGGCACTGTGTTTCAGTGGCTATATAAGGGTTGAAGCATGCATCTTAAAACATGATATAACAAGAACTTAACAAAATAATGTTTGCATTATGATACTGCCTTGCATTTTCTGAGAACCACCCGAACAATATAATACGTTTAACAGAAACAATTGCCTATGATGAAGTGACATTTCTTTTGCTTGATGAATCTTCATTTTATCAACTGTTAATGAACCTCAATCTGCACTTCTCCAGCTGAGAAGAGAGAAGGGATTTGTTGTTTTACATGGCTGGAACACCTTAGCTACTGTCATGCTACTGGTTCAGCATTTCTTGTAATTGGTCTGATAGCACAGGGTCATCCTTTATGAAGCTGCTCTTCATCACCTCTGTCTTGCTAGAATGACGTTCATTTATCTATCTATCATAAAATTACTGGACCAGCAGTCTGAGACACTGATGGCTTATTTCAATATACAGCCATCCTGAGATGTAATGAATTTTATTTCCTGAATTTCTCAGATGCAGGAATACTGAAATAATGATTAGCAAAATCGGGATGGTGCACATTTGTTTTTTATTCGGTAACTTTTTAGGAATGGTATTTACATATTTTGCTATAATGAATGGAAGAAAGTTGTTTTTTCATGTTCTAATGTTGCATCCTGATTGCTCAGAAAAGTATCAGTTGAAATTGATGCTGGACACTAATAGATATTAAGACTGTTCAGAGTAATTTACCAGGACTATAAAACAGACTCAGGAATCCAGTCTTTAACAGCATCCTTAACTTGTTAGCATGACTCCACAGTAACATTGGCTTTTGTGTCAAGTCACCAGTATTAAGCCTGGGTTCCTGGTATGGGGTGAATTCACTAAAGGAAAGGACAAGTTCCTCATGGGCCCTGAACTGATAGAATTGGGTGGCCTCTTCTCTTCCCTCACATTGTGTTATGTGCTTTTCCAACTAAAAGAAATTATTCTAAGCTTCTCAGGTCAACAAAAAAATGTGTTTCTCTTCTGCATCACCCCTTTTCAGGATTTTCTGACTGGTTGCTCTGAGTTTTTGCATTTGCAATTTTTATTCTGTGTCCAAGTATAATCTTGTATTGAAAATCATAGACACTCTCCATGGTCTATAGTAACCGAAGCTATTGCAGATTCCTCAGTCACTGTTTACAGCATATAACAGTTTACAAGAAATGAAGCTATAGTGTGGTTAAGTCAGTTCATCTGCTCATCTGTTTTGGGCAATATTGAAAGTATATGTAAGCGGTTGCAGAGCCTGGTTAGACCCTAGTAGACCATAGGATCTTATAAAAATTGATATGTTGGTACGTTTGCATAATCTTGCATATAAAACATGTAGTAAAGAGAAAGATTGATAGATCATAGTAAAACAAGAAGCCTAATGATTTTCTTCCAAGTACCAACAAGTGTGTAGTAAAGAAGGGCTGCTTGGTCATGTCAATGCTTCTCTTTCCTCTGTCAGGTTCACGTTCAGTTGACATTTGCTCCTGCATGCTTACTTGTTATATTCCACTTGAACACCTCTTTCTTCACTAATTAAGTGGGAAGAGGAGGAGCTCCCTCAGGTATAGGAAAGAGAAAGGAATCAGAAGCTGTGCTTTGCTTTTAAGGGAAGCAGGAGCATAGCCTCTTTTGGTAACTGTTGGTTTCACAACAACCATCACGCAGAAGGAATGCAGATCAGTTACCTCAATATGCCTGTAATTTCTTCTCATTCAAAGGAGTCCAAAGGGATACAGAACTAGATGCTCCCTTGTATATTTTGCCAAACCCAAATATAAAATATTATAGCACAGGCTTAGAAGTGAACTAATTACAATTTGAGAAAAGAATGCAAGAATAAATTGTGGGGGGTTGTTTGGTGGTGTTTTTTTTTTTTTTTTTTTTTTTTTTTAACTTGCCTTTTGCTCTTCAGGTTTTGGGGTTTTTTTGAATCTGCCTACAGTGGACTTTAGCTGACCTTCCTCAGTCCCTTTTCCCACCTCTTCTTTTTTTCATTCCCACCTCATATCTGGGGGTTGAAAATGAGTCTGTGTATTCAACATGCCACAAAACTTGTGTACACGTTTCTGTGTCAGGAGAGAGTTTGGAAGAAAATAAGGAATGATTATGTTGTGTTATAAAATGGAGCCCGGAATTTTGCACAGCAAAGCAATTTCAGTACACAGGAAGATCACAAGTGTCACATTCGCTGAGGTGCTGCAACCCAGGCTGGTCTTCAAACAGATTGTATGAGCTACAATATTTGTAGTACATGCATGAATATTTTTTAAGGTCAGGCAGCAAAGCAGGAGGAGATCACATTGAAGTGAAGACCAGTAACAACCAAAGAGAGAAGGATTTGACTAAGTATTTGAAAGCGTTGCTTTCTAGGTAAAGAAGAGACCATTTAAATGATAGGTGACTGTTGTAGGGGAAACACAAAATAATAAACAGGCTAAGGAGAGAAAAGAAAAAGCAGAGCATAGCGTGCAAAAAATGGGTTGTAAGAAGAGCTATCCAAGTTACAGGTTATGATTAAGGGTGTTAGAAAATAAAAGACAGGAAACAAGAAAGGGTACTAGATGAGGTGATGAAACTGAGAAGGTGGCAAGGGCTGAGGAGAAATATGATGTAGCTCTAACAAGAGAGGTTGTGAAAATAAGACAGATGTTCCTTGGTGGTTTCACATGGAAGTGGTAGGATTGCTTAGTAGATTTCTGTGTTAGGCCATTCTTTTCCAAACTCAATTTACTTACACACTCAATTTACTTGCTATGTAGCGTGTGTTCTGTCAGCATGGTTTGAGTTCTAAAAATGCAATGCCTTGATGCACTTAGAAATGCTATTGAAAATCCTTAAAAAAGTCTATTTGAAGGCTGAGAAAAACTTAAAGCTCAAAAGCACATTTTAAAGTGTAAAAATGAACTTTGCTTGTAAAATATGTGAGGAGAGCCATTTTTAAAATCTCTATGCTTTCTTTGAGCTTCATCTTTGTTCTGCCTTTATGAATTCAGATCCCTCGTGTCCTTTCCTCCTTCCCCTATTTGGCTTGCCTCTTGATTGTTTCACAATTTATCTTTGCTGCCCAGGGAATCCAACTGTCTGGGGCTGGTGACTTTATCCTGCCTTGGTGTCAAGGTCAAAATCTTTTAATTTTACAGGTAGAGTGGGTATCGTGACCTCAGGGTCTCCTGCTGTACATTTAAATCCTGTCAGTGTTCTCAGAATGACAATGTCTGAGGTTTATGTCTGTCAGCTGCTTTATTGGGCTCTTTGGTGATATTTTTTGTCTAATTTCTCTTGGCAAGAATATAACTATTTTCTTGTTAACACTGAGAGTCTGTGACATTAAAGACCCTCAGATAAAAAAAATGCTTAACATTCTTATTACAGTTAAACTGAAGAGTATATTTACAGAAGGTGAAAACAATTTTGGCAACATAATAGAGATAACTTTGCTCTTCTACATTTTCTGCATCTTATCTTTAATCAATAGTTATGCTAAGGTGTCTTGTATATATTTCCATTCATGGAAAAGTCATTGCAATAGAGAAGAATTCACACTATATTTTGCATCTACAAGGTTTGGGATTTTAACAGGAGATTGAGTTTCCTTCAGTCCATTTTTGCCAGTATAGAGTACCTATGCTTTGTGATTGGATTCACCCATCTTTCAGCAATGAGGTGTAGTAGGAATGTAGACTGAAACACACGATCTCCTGTGTGTTTTCAGTATTGCTTGGATGTTAGCAATGATTCTGATCAGTATGAATTCACTGGAACAAATGCAACAGCTCTTTTGCTCTAACATATTAACATACTTCTATGTTATCAAAAACTAGAAGGTAAGTAAACTAAAGAAAGTCACGTGAAAAGCCAGTTACTCCAAAAGTGGCAAATATATTTTCAGTCATGTATCGAAGTTGAGAGGCTAATGTGTATTTGGAGCAAAACTAGAAGATTTTTCAGCTAAAACAAGTTGTTACTGAAATAATTTATTTTGACATTTCTTCCAAGTCTTATAGGTTTGGTTTCTTGTTAACTATTTTTTAGACACATTTAACAGGTTCAATCATTGCTTTAACATGTAGAAGTGTTACAGTAAGCCTGCAAAAAACAAGATTCTTTTTTATCTTTATGGTCAAAAGAAAATATTCCTGTCCACCCTGAACATTTTTGAGATACTCTTGCCTAAATATTTCACTTCTCTCCACTTCTAGTCTCTGAACACTTTCCCCAAAATAGAAGGCCTAAATCTAACAGTCTACTTGGAAAATTTCAGCCAAAACAGATGACTGATATGGAAGAATAATGAGCCTCATAGCTTCAGTGGCCTCAGATCTATAGCTGCTGAAAAACCTTTCCTTTATCCATTCCCAAACTAATTTTTTTCTATTAAGCAAAAGAAAAGAAAACTTACAGATTTCTTAAAATTGGCTTGATAGTTACATTGTTGATACGCTGTTTGAACTGCAAGAAAGCAGTTATTTATCCATTACATGCAGTTTAAAAATCTACATTAGCAATTTATATGTGCCAGTTGACTGAATATTTTGAAATACTGCCCTCAAATTTGCATATAATAATGTCTCTTTTTCATCCTCTCTGCTCATAGTTTGTGAATACCAGACTGACGTGCTTGTGGAAACTAAACAAACTTCCACAGGCAGCATTATGAATTCACAGATCAGCCTTTTCCATTAGAAAGAAAACAAAAGGAACCCCCCTAAAACCCGATTCTCTTATTAGATTTGGTCTGTTGAAGACTTAATCTTTGGTATTGAAAGGAGATGTAGCAGTCATCATGCCAGATGAACATGGGAAACTGTAATTCTGAGAAAGCTGAAAAAGACTATTTGAAACAGGATCTGTGCATCCATAAAAACCCCAAATTCTGATACCTTATTCAGTTGAGTACCTGTGTTGACTTTTAAAGAGTGTGGCATGTTATTTCTGGTAAATTTTTTTTTATGTCTGCTCAGTTTTTAATAAGATAGATTACTCATGCTGTATGTGCAAATTGTGGTCGTACTCAGTGGTCTAGACATATGGGCATTTGTGTTGACTAAGCTGTTTTGTCAACTCATATCAACTCTGTCAGCAAAAAGTTTACATATTTTTATTGTGGTAGTATTCCAAGTTTCTCAGCATTCATCTACTTTTCTAATCAACTGTAAAGAAGATTGCTACAGTTTTTGAAGAATTATTATTTATTCATCTTCATTTAGGAAATTACCTTATCTGAAACTGGGCTGAAGTCGACATATAAATGAGCATCAAAACCCAGATGATAAAGAGAACCAGATGCAGGGAGCCTCCTACACTCCTAATGGCCTCCAAATGTGGGGTCTAGTACTTCTGGCTAAATGCAAGTCACAAATGAGGCTTTCACCACTGCTGTGAACAAGTAAATACCATTTACATAACAAAACATTGAATTTCAGTTACAAATTTTATGTAACTGTATTTCATATGTATTCAGAGGTAGAGACAAACAGCATTGTTTATTAAGAAACTGTGTAAAATACACAGTTTGCAAATAGTGCACTTCCAAATGCGTAGTGGGGAGTACTCTACTTGCTTTGTCTTCATTTAAAATAACCTTGATTGACTTAAATTTGCTTGATGCCTTAAGCGAAATTAACCTTTTTGAAGAGACGACTGAGTGTTTTGGTACATTGTTTTGCAGGCAGCTTTGAATGTGCTCCTGTAAAGCTCTCAGGTAATCAAATGGGGCTCTTTGACCAGCACCATTAGAATGGAAGTGAACCTGAGCTGTTCCCCGAGGATGGCTGGTTAGCTGGGACTCGGTGCCTGGCTTTTGAGTCAGAATACGAGTTTTGTGTTTGCTTTCAAAACATGGTTATTCTTTTTGAGAAATAGGGTTTATCTATTTCAGCAAGGTGCTTATGCTCAGATGCAACTGAGTGAATAGGTGAGAGGACTTGGTTTCTCAGTGTACCATCTGAAATAGCATTTCATGTCATGAAGAATTATTCTGCTTGTGTAATTCAGGTCAGTATCCTTTTAAATGGGCCTGTGTTTTTAGTATGTAGTCTTTAACTTTTTTTAATTAGTGGGTGATTAATACAAGATTCAAGATGACAAAGCAGGAGATGAAAGATAATAAACTGTTTTTACTGTTGAATTATTTGAAGTCTTTTGCATCTTTAAAACATTCCTATTTAATTTTTTAGTATTATTGAGTCCTTCAGTTTTTTTGCTATATATTTCAGATGAAAAAACTGAGGCAGAAATGTATTTGCTGAGTATATTGAAAAATCAATAATGCAAGCTAGAATTCTTGCTGACTCATCTCTTACTTGTTGGGTCACTGTCTTTAATTTTTCAAGAGTTTAATATGGAATTGTGTTTTGGTGTGGGGGATTTATTTATTTTTTTAATAGTGTATTTTGCAATATGCAGTCCTTCTCCTTTGGCTTTTTTTCCTTGAAATGCAGCAGTTTACTTTAGAGTCTCAACTCATTTTCTTGTAGCAGACTACATACAGTTCCACTTGAATGCTTAGAAATATAATATATTTGACTTGTTGAAATGAGGTTGACACATCATCAGAAGAAATTTACATCTGGTAAGTGACAGCAGCAAGCTTGTATTATACAGTTTAAGGAGGTCATAGGTTTTGTCACTATCCTTCATTAGTTTGGATAATGATATTGCAAAAAAGCCCCCTAGAGTATGCATAAAAAGGCATTGACCTCTTTGTATAATTCCTAAAAGAGTTTTTTTAGGCATCCTGGTCTAGTCAAGGGGCAGTTCTTGGGTCTTGTCACTTAATTAAAATGGAATGTAAATCTGAACCTCTCTGATGGTTTCAGTACTTTTGCACGCTCTGAGAACAAATGACAAATTTTGTCTAGGGCAACTTGCAAAGTGGTGGATGGGAATAGCTGTTTAGCCAGAAAAAAATTGTTAAGATTTTTTTTCTGTTTCTTTAAATAAGAGCGGCAAGGGATGCACATAATAACTGCTAACTGTGGAGGAATGTATGGCCCATGGACATAGGGAGAGCCTCAATTCCATACCTGAAGTAACATTTTTTTCACTTTTAAGATGTTTCTCTCCTGACTAAAATACACAGATTCTTTTTCCTGTGTATGCCCTAACACACAACCTTAATAACATTCATATAATCTTAAAATTAAAAGATAAAAATAAAAAAAAAAATCCTCATCTAAGGTGAGGTTTTTAGATCTTCTTAATAATTTCATCATAACATTTCCTACTGTGTGTATCAATTCATTGTTGTCAACCTCATTATTCTTAAAGGCTAAATAAAAGCAGGCAATATTTCAGAATGTCCAAACCCATATCATAACCTAAAGGTAACAGTAGAAGTACAAGGCCTGACTAAAGACTCTTTAAAATTAATTTGCAGGGTTGTGATTGTATTTGGTAGCCTCTGTCTGGGAGTCTTATAAATGCCTGGCCAATTGTTGGTTATCAAGGCTGTTGATACCTGCTTTACATTATCTAAAATATGTGCATGTCCACAAATGGCACTTCATCAATCCCAGCTATCCAGATGTTTCAGATATATTCTTGAAGTTTTTTGTAATTATATTTTCCACACTTGCGCTTGTGACAGTCAAACACGTATAGAACAGCTTGCTTATTGGTTACTGGGGAGATGTTGGCATGTATGTTTGTAAAAATATATCCTGGGCCTGGTGGGATAAAGCTTGTTCTATTTCTAGTTTCCCCAAACATGTCTTAGGAGATTGTTAGTTTGTATTGTCTTTTAAATTAAACTTCATCCCCCATTCTTACTGTTCTCAGTATTTTCTTTCCAAGCATATATAGCTTTGCATGCTATGGCTGCAATTGTTTGAAAGGACTGAGTTACTTTTTGATGGGATCAAGGTACTCTAAAAAGTGTGGTGGGTTTTGACCCTATTTTCCCAATGCTGTTATTTCACTGTTTTCAGTTTCTTTTTCCTGTCACAACACTCTCTAGTTATTCTGTCCTAAGAAAACGAAGAAAACACATCACTGTCTAGCTCTTTTTTTCTGTAACTTACTTCCTTTTCCCTTCTTTGGAGATCCTTTTTTTTTATATAATATTCGTTTTTGGCTTGGTTTCCTAAGGGAATATGATATGCAGGTGAGAAGGAAAGAGACCCCTTAGTGTTTTCAGTAAGGATATGGCCATCACAGTATAGTAATAGACATAATATAACTGAAACAGAGAGGAATGTGAACAAAAACCAAGGAGACATTTGTGAGTTTTGCTGTTTGTGAATTCTGTGTCTAAGAATTTTAAGTGCCAAAACACATATGAGGCACACACACATCATATTTATTACCATGGTGATGTTCGTTATGGACTTACAGAATGAATTAGACACTATTTATTTTTATTAGTTTTAAAAAAGGATGTATGGACCAACCTATTTACAAATATACGTGTGTGCGTGAGAGGAGATCTTGAGTAAACTGGGGCTCCCTTTTCTGTCCATCCTAGAGGCTGCCATTTAGCAGATGGGGAATAACAGTAACGGAAATTTGACAGAATTAGAAGTGAGAGAGAAGTGCAATCATAAAAATAATTTTCAAGACCTGTAGGGAAATATGACAGCACTTTTTCAACTTTTGCGTGACCTTTCTCCCGATGGATAGTTTTATTTGAATGAGATACAGAAGTTTGGGCCAAGCCCAGAAAAATTGTTTTCCCTTCAACTTAATATTTCTGAGAAAATTTTGTCATGGTATCCATGTGAGGGAATTTTATTACTCTACAGCATCCTTATGTGAACCTTCTCTGGGAAAAACTAACCTAAAATAGAAAAAAAAAAACTCCAAGCAAAAACATCAGTTTCAACACTTGCTGTTAACATATTAAACCCCCCAAAAGCCAAGTGCCTTAACCCTCACATAATTCAACTTCAAAAACGTGACTATATTAATATATTGTTAAATATTTTTGATGTGACATAATATTGTTATGAAGAGTTGTTATGGTTTTAAGATTGGGGAAAAAGTGTTATCTCATGCACTGACTTGCTGAATGGCCACATAATCTTATATATCTGCTTTCCTTTTTCTTCCCCATACTCTCATTTCTCCTTTTTGGGTCATTTCAGAAACTAATTTTTTGAGTTCCTTGTGCTACAAAGATTTGTACAAGGAGATGTATTAGCACACTTTTGGGTGCCATTAAAAAACTGTTTCCATCCTTATAAATCTTTTAAAATATCCAGGTGTTTTCAACAACTTCAAATCATGCCAGCAGAGGTCAGTTTAGTACCAATGGAAATTGAAACAGCAGGACTACACTTGAGGAGCTAGAACAAATGTGAAACTTTGTGTAATCAGACTAAATAAACCATGTATATAACTTGGTAGAGAGACATTAAAACCATTTTTGCTATTCCTACTTGATTTGAGTTTGAATCATTTTCTTAAAAATCAATGAACGAATAACTGCTGCTGGAATTTGCTGATTTCCGACAGTGTTTTCATTATCTTTTCCTTGAAGAGTATGTGAATGTGGTGTTTGCCACTTGGCAAAAAAAGTGCATCTTCATTACAAAAAAGCATAGAAGCAATAGGATATAAAAAAAGACTGATTTCTGTGATGTCTCACATTTAGAAGGAAACATTTGAACCTTATATAGGTACATGAAAGTCCTCAGGTTCTTCAAAGGCAGAAGTACTGGTATATGCATAAAGGTTACCTTCCACCTGAAGCTTTACATCCCTCCTAC